TGTGTGTGTGTGTGTGTGTGTGTGTGTGTGTGTGTGTGTGTGTGTGTATGTGTATGTATGTGTGTGTATGTGAACACACACGCACACAGACAAATTGGAAGGGGCTGTTTTAGATGTACCTGTGTACAAGTTAGAAGACAACTTGAGGGAATTAGTTCTCTTCTTCCACCATGTGGCCATACGGGTCCTGGAGATTCAACTCAGATTGTCAGGCTTGGCAGCAAGTGCCTTTTCTGCTGAGTTATCTCTGGGAGTGTGGAGTATGAATGTGTGTGTGTTCACATGTACACGGTGCTCAAGGGGAGGTCAAAGTACTCCTGAAGTTGTTCTTTTCCTTCCACCATATGAACTCAAGGCATTGTACTTGGGTCATTAAGCTTGACTTTAAACTCCTTTATCTACTACGCTTTCTTGATGGCCCATGACTATATGTTAAGAGAAGTTTTGAGTTCAGAGCAAAATGAGAAGATACAGAGATATCCCATATACACCCATGATACTTCCCAGATTAGCAGCTCCACTTTAAAAATTACTATTATTATTTTGACTTAATAAGTAGCGACTCTGTTCTCCCATTTAATCCCACTAAAATCTTGGTGTTATCCTTGACCTTTAAAAAAAAGGAATCTTTCATCTCTCATATTAAACCTAATTCTTACTATCTCTGTCATAAAAACACATGGAGATTATGACCATTTATCATTCCTAAGTCAATTGTATTATTCTTTACTAGTGTTCCAAATTCTCTGCTTTTCCTTCTGCAAGCCCCTTAGCCAACAAAAATGATACTTTAAAAAAATTCGTTAAATGTAGTATGATATGTCCTGAGTTGATATCCTGGAACAGAGTAGGAAAAGATGCTTGTGGAAACACTGGTACTGCTGAGCAGATCTAGAGTTTACTTGATGGTGTGCCACTGCTCCAGTCCTCGTTTTGTCAAATGTATCATGGTTGTGCAGGCCGTTGAACTGATTTATATGTGAACTCTCTGTACTATTTTTGTAACTTCTTAAAATTCTAAAATTATTCCAGATAAAAAGTGTACTTTAAAAGTGATAAATCAGAACAGAAAGCAGATGTCAAACAAATAAGAGAAAGGGGGTGGGGGAACAAGACTGTTAGAGCTGGCTATGACACACTTTTTGTTTTTGTTTTTGTTTTTTTTTTTTTTTGTTTTCGTTTTTCGAGACAGGGTTTCTCTGTGTAGCCCTGGCTGTCCTGGAACTCACTCTGTAGACCAGGCTGGCCTCAAACTCAGAAATCCTCCTGCCTCTGCCTCCCAAGTGTTAAGATTAAAGGGGTGCGCCACCACTGCCCTGCGACACATATCTTTAATCTCAGCACCTGGAAGGCAGACATAGGTGGATTTCCACAGGATCTCTTTGGGTTTGAGGCCAACCTGTTCTACATAGTGAGTTCCAGGGCTGCATAATAAAGAGAGATTCTCTCAAAAAAAAAAAAAAAAGCTTTTAGGAAAAGAGAGTTAAAAATTATAAACTATAAAGCAAAGTGAGCTCTTAGGCTAGCTTGAACTTGTGAACCTTTCTCCTCAGCTTCCTTTATTCTAGGACTATATACTGAGACCCAGCTCTTGGGCTTATAATCTGCCAAGTGTGCTCCCGAGCAGGGAGCCTGGTACCTATATTTTCTAGAGCTCTCTCTCAGATACTTGCTTGGCTTTCCATTCCTTAAGGAACTTAAATGTTATCTGAATTCTCCAAACTACCTTGTCTCAAATATCAACACTTTTATTTCCCCTTTTATAATTTGATTGAACCTGTTTGTTTGTTTTAAGACAGTGTCTTACTATTTAGTCCAGGCTGCCTCAAACTCACTATGTAATTTAGACTGTGGAATGTAGGATTCTCCAACCTCAGCCTCCCCACGTGCTAGGATTATAGGTACATGCTCCTAATATATCATGCCCACCTTAAGTATAATTTTTTAAAAGATTTATTTATTTTATATGAGTATGCTGTTACTCTCTTCAGACACACCAGAAGAGTTCATCAAATCCCATTATAGATGTTTGTGAGCCACCGTGTAATTGCTGGGAATTGAATTCAGGATCTCTGGAATTGCAATCAGTGCTCTTAACTGCTGAGCCATCTCTCCAACCCAAGTATATATATTTTTTTCTATATCTTTTTCCTGTTTTAGTTTATTGAGCTCATTCAGTTCAGGCTGACTTTGAACTAGCTATGTTGCTGAGGCTGGCCTTGAGTTCTTGATCTTCCTGCCCATAGCTCCTGAGTGTAGGCATTATAGATGATTGCCACTATTCAGAGACTTACCTAATTCATAGAATTCTACCATCACCCCAGTGCTGTTTTGGAGCAGTTCCATATACTGATTTGCAGTTGACCCTCCTTCTAGCTCTAGCCTCAAATAATCGCTGAGCTAGTTCCTGTCTCTAGCATGATTTCCTCTTCTGCACATTTCTTATAAATGGGATGTAGTAATTTTTCTATGCCTGTTTTGCTTTTTCA